TTCTCTAACATCTCTCCCAACTACACATTTGGTTTAATAAAAGATATCACCAAAACAAGCCTTGCTTCTTGTATATACCAGGAACATTATGGCTATAATAACGCTCCAACCCTACCTCAGCTCCCACTGAAGTCAACAGAAGTTCAAGGCAACAGCACTTCACAGGATCAGGACACCATAAGAGAAGATTTCAAAGTGACCTAGTGTTTAGATTGTGATATTTCCATTCAGATTGTTAAATTCAGAAATGGAGATATAATCTCCTGTCCTGAGATGGACACACAGACACCATCTAACAAATATCAGTGACATATAAGGGGTTCAAAATCCATTTTCCTAAATGGCTATATCCAGAACAGTTTTGCTTAGTTTAAAAATCAGACTAGGACTGCTCTGACTGCAGCCTCACATGTTCTACCTGAAGGATCGGACAACCCCTATGGGAGCTTTCTGCTTCTTTCATCACTGCCAGTAAAAAACTCTGCCGCAACAACCTTGTCAAGAATTTTGCTGATAGTGCAAGAGGTAGAACAGATTAGTTTGCTCTTTCATAACCAAAACAGATCCATGGGCCTAAAACCTTGTGTTTGGCTATAGAGAGTGTAAATATTAATCAGAGGCAGAAAAATTTTATATGCACTATACTGTATTATATACTATAGTATAGACTATAAATATTATATATAAGGGTGTATACATAATAAAATTATATATTTCTGACCACAACTCATTTTAATTGCAATACTTTTCACAACAATGTCAGGCAAAAAAATCCTAGTTGCTGTTCTGTTTAGGGTGGAGGCTTCTGGGCTCTCGTTCAAGCACTGACACTCCTGGACTAGCTTCCAACAGTCTTTGAAGTTTTACAAGTTGCCATATCTCAACACGAGGGAGCAAGAGGCCACTTCTCCATTATTTTGAAAGCGAAGAAACATGGACCCTGAATGTTTTCCTAGTTAGTTTTAACCTGTCATATCAGTGCTCCAAGGAAGTATATTTATTGCACTTGCAGCACTGAAGCAGTGGCAAAACTTGGGGGCATCTACTGGCTGTCTCCTACAGTATGCTGTGGAAACTCACCCCAAAAATGGGTGTATTAAGAAAGGCCCTAAGCTAAGTCTTTACTTGCTGCAATGCTAGAAATTCTTACTTTCTCAATCACAAAGAGTAGGCGTTCTGACTCATAGTATAGAAGACACTGCATCAGTTGTCATCCAAGTGACCAGAATCATTGCATTACATTGTACGGTAACTGCATCTAAAATCATTAGCTTCTATTACCTGAGCTGAAGAACAAGTTCAAAGATCGCAGCAGACACAAATCACAATCTGTGGCCTAGCCCCTAGCGAGGGACAAAGCCACACTGGGCTACACTGTTCTGCAATTGTTATCTTTTGAAGTGTGGTACTCCAAAGCATTTCTCAGACATTTAGCGAGATCAGGGCAAACATGCGGTGTCAAGATTGCACACCAACTGCTGCAGCTTCCTGAGCCTGACGAAGGGTTTTTGAACCCGAAAGCTTGCTTAATAACTATTCTCCAACCATTTGGGTTGGTCTAATAAAAGATATCAAATTCACCCAAGGAACCTTGTCTGCCTATATCCTTAGTCCAACACGGCTACAACCTAAACCCCTGTGTCAAGATTGCATGAATACTCTCACAGTGGCTTGTGTCTTCAGTCATACTGTATCAATATAAATCCTATGCCACTGTTACATTTTATGGCATTAATACCAGTTTTGACTTTGATCAGTAACATTGTGTAGATAAAAACATTCAAAGCAGACATTTTAAACCTTCAATAGCTGTTCATACAAAATATGTTGCAAGCCGTCTTCCAACCTATTCATAGCAAAGAACCACACATTTAATCTCATACTTCAGACTGCTCCAGGACATTTAAAAAGGGGCCCAAAAGGAAATGTCAGACACTAGAAAAATTTTACTCACTTGCCACTGCTTAAAATAGTTGGAACTAATCTTAGATTTCACTTTACAACCACAAATGGCCAAAGAAAATTCAAACTATTCATAGACTACAATAAGGATTTGAAATCAATCCTCAGACTCAAAACACAGACTCTTTGTAGCCTTTTTTTTTAAACTCCTGCTAAAGTTGTGTCTCAGGATTTAAATTTCTATGATAGCAGGACTTTCATCCCACTATATTTCTAAGAAAATACGTAGTTATTTTGTTAAACATTAATTGATTTGTATACAGCCTAAAGATATATATTTAATTAGTCCATAATAATAACACCCCAGTAACATCTATAAACTCTTTGCTCCCAAACAATTCATCAAAAGGTTTGCTCTCTCATATAAGATTTATTTCCCAGTATGGTGACTTTAAAAGGCAGTTTCAAATAAGCAAAGTCAGTCAAGCAGCTGCAACTTTAAAGCAGCTATTTTACAACTGACAGCTGTTGTCTATATCTATCTTTTTTTCCAGACCAGCTAGTAAGTACCTGCTATATACTTTTTCTTTTGCTTAAACTGATATGGCCCTTCTCATGTGGTTTCTTAAGAATTCCCAAATTGTCCCTCTGAATACACAAAACCAGAGACCCTAGCGTCTGCTGCAGTGGCTAGCCCTGGGGACTGAGACCTCGGGGTCTTGAATTCTATTTCTCATTCTGGCACTGAGTCACTATGGGATCTTGGATGAGTCACTTAACTTCTTTGTCTGCCATATGTAGAATAGATGATAATTACTGCATCATTTCCAACATCCTCAGCCCCCTTAACACTTTTCTCCCACCCTCACTCGATTTTTGAATAATTCAGAGGTGAAACAGCATGTGTAGTAGTGGGAGGGTGTGAATCTTACCCCAACCAAGACGAAAGTAAAACCTGTGAAGCATAGCGTTATTATGTGCAGGAAATTATCTTGCTGATAATGGAAGGTACAAAACTTAATTTCCAAACAGCTTTAGAAAAAAATATGTATCCAATGGTTCTGACACTTAGAGCTGACACATTAGCAAACCAGATCTTTACAAATGCCCGAATCAGGGGAGAACCCTGCATGAGCCATTAGTGGAGGGGTAGGCAATGTTTTTTGGCCAGAGTGCCGAAAAAAAACACAATGTCTACCTTGGAAGGTGCTGAAGCGCCAACATGCTGGAGCCTGGATCAGCTTTTTGCAGCCTCCCAGCTGCAGCCGGCCCATGGAGCCCATTCTGCTTGCAGCAGGGCTTGCAGCCTCCCAGCCACCTACTGGGAGCAGCCTGGGCTCCATGGCTGGCAGCAGCTGCTTAGAGACCAGGATGGAGGTGGTGTGCCGTGCAAAATGGCCTTGGGTGCCATGCATGCCAAAGGTTGCTGACCCCTGCATTAGTGGAATCATCATGTCTTTAAGATATATATTTTGATACAGGGCTGATCCTGCTGCATAGATTTTTTTTTTCCCACAATGGTCATGGAGAGGCTAACTGACCTATTGATATAAATGGCCACTGTTGTTCAGTCTCATTGTAAATTAAGAATAAGTGATTTCAGACTAATGGTGCTCAAACTTTTGGCCCTGCAGACCAGACATAGAGATTTGTCCCTGGTCTGGATCCTGCAGGTGGGGTCCAGAATGCTCCCCCAGCACCAAATGTCTGGACCAGGGCTGGCCCGTCCTATCCTACAAAACCTGCTTCCACAGGGGGCCCCGCAGCCAAGGGGCCCCCTGCATCTGGCCACCCCTGGCTTCTTCGGCCACTTACCACCCCTCCCCCTGTCGACGCTGGCTTCTTTGTGTCGGGGGCCCCAAAACTATATTTTGCAGGGGGGCCCAAAAATTGTGGACCTGTCCTGGTCTGGATCCAGTGGGCAGGAAGTTGAACACTGCTTTACATGGCAATAAATTAAAATGCTTTGCAATTCCCATGAGTGACAGGCCTGAGTCACCTCTTATACACAGACCATCTTGGTAAGATCTGAACTTTGCAACTGAGTTGCATCTCTAATTAACACAATATATATGCTTCCTACACTCCACATTCACAGACCTGACATGGCTAAAAAGTCCTCTATAATTGGCCTGTCGTTAATAACTACCCCCAAGAAGCTAACTGATAAGAGCCTGTGGGCTGTGACATCCTTTAGGCACCAGAATCCTGGGAGTGGGTGGGTAGCCATAGAAAAAGCTTCTATTTTTGAAATCAGCTTTCTTATTGGAAAGCAAGATTAAGAGTTACTCTTTAAATAGGCCTTGGCTTCATCAAGGAATCAGAGCCAGATGTTTACCTAGGAAACCACTTGAGATTATATTGTAATTACTTTTAAGAATAGTTAAAGGAATGTCAGGGGGGTCAGAGCCAAGCTTGCTCTCAAAAAAGGAAATACTAGAATTACAGTTGCTCACGAAACCTTAATTCTCCCCTCTGCACACACAAGCAAACAGTCTGTAATTACACACATAAAAGCATCCACTAAGTTTGGATGCCCAGCTCGAGGCACCTGGGGCATTATTATTCAGAGCCCTTAATGCACATGTAGCGCTTTCAGGATTCAAAGCATTGCACCTATATTAACTATTTAATCCTCTGAGCATTCCTGGGACCTGGCTAGAAAGAGAGAGGAGGAAAAAGGGCAGGGACTTGCCCAGAGCTCTCTATCCACAGCTACAAGCTTCCCCTGCTTCAACAAATCAAGTTGGTCCTCCAGGGCTTTCACAACCTAGATGTGTTTCAGCTGTCGGTTTGCACCCATTTCTCAGCTTCTCATGTGAGCAGTGTTCTCAGGAAGGCTCTTTTCATCCCTCCTCCCTGAACATGCTCAAATGACACCTGCACCCGCCTCCCCAGCCCACCCTGGACATCCCTCGTGCCCGCAGACGGCGGACGCTGCAGACGGCTAAACCCACCATAAAGCCCCCTGTGCCAACCCCCTCGGTCCCACGCATGCGCACTGGCAGTGTCAGGAGCCGACTGGCGAGGCCGCGCCTGCGCCCGGCGCACACTCCCTGGGGGCTCAGACTACGCATGCGCGTGGGCGGGGCGAGTGGCCCTGACAGCGTGAGGCCTGTCGGGCGGTGCTTCTCGCGAGACTTGTCGGTAGCGGAAGCCAGGCGGCGGCGGCGGCGGTGGCGGGAGGGGCAGCCGGGAAAGGCAGCGTCACGGGGCCGCTCGGAGCGGAGCGGAGCTCCAGCGCCACACGGTGAGGGCGGGCCGGGCCGGA